TACCGACCTGCCTGACAGGCCCCTGTGCGCTGTTGCATGTGCATGCTAAACCTAGAAGTGCTCCGTTACGGTACGCGGGCTCTGGCAAAACTCCAGATTTAACGGTCCCGGGAAAATGATTGCGACGAGTTGTGGGAGGTCAAATAGGTTGTCGAAGTTAGCTTTGCTGAGAGATACAAGGAGCTGAAGGACAATATGAAATTGATGTTGACGAAGCACGCCTCCGAGAAGATTCAACATGTCCTGGTGAGAATCACGGAGACGCTAAAGTGCAAGTGTCTTATATCTAACGAACAGGAACCCGAAAAACAAGACCGAAAGAACCCCGGCACCGTCAAGCAAGAGAAATCTTGTGTGAAGAATACGTCCTAGTTTCCTATAGAGGTTGCCAGTGGGTATGGAAAATCTCGGAGATGTTTTGGGAGACATGGAAAATCGAAGCTACAACGGACAAGGTCAAGGAGAGACAACCAGACCAGCTCCAGCAAGCCAGCTCAGGGTAGTCAGCGAAGGGAAGCGATAATACGAAATAGAAATGGAAACTGATTCGTTTCGATTCGATTCACACACTCTCCATTGCCATCGTCATTCCTATGACTATTACTCGTAGCCACGCATGCAGAGTAGGCCACGGAGGGTGGACGCCCCTGCCCACGTCCATACCTGTGGCCACCGTTCGTTCGGCAGGCCACTGAGAAACAGCCGAGAGGCGCCTGGTAGTTGCGTAGAAAAGTAACACGAACGAGACCGGGTTGTGTTTCAAGAGGAGGAGATCTGTCGAGCGTCTACGAAAACCTAGGCATACCATTCCGAAGATCTCAATGGCGAGAGTGCTAAGAAAGGAAGGGTAACACGGGCGGAATGAAGAATGTGGGTCAGCTAGCTGGCTGGAGTTGAGCCGGTTTCATTTATTCATCCATCAAAAGTACGCATGGCACTCATCCACGCATTCCTTCTTCCTCGTCGCAAAATTGTTGAGCGAAGTTTCGTCATCATCGTCATCGTCATCCCTGGTCGTACACACACCGCCTCAAGATCGTCCATTAGGTCGTGGATATCCAGGCCGTCCTCCCCTTTTCTATATTATCATACAAAAGTCCTCGGTAGATAACCCACCCCGCCTGGGTAACTCAACCTCGATACGGGCCCATCTGGCCGTTAAAGTCCTGCATGATAATGTCCCATTGTGCCCAGTCCATAGGCATATCACCTACGTCCAGCTCATGGGCAAAATTTGGTTCCGACGCGAGCATGATGCCGTCACCCGCGAAGGGCGTCGGAATGGGCTGGAATGCCGGGAGCGGAAGCTGATGCGGGACGCCCGCGCCACCTACAAGACCGCTCGCGGCCAGTTGCGGAGCGTTGTAGCTGCTGCTCGACGGGTCAGTCCCGAGATCGTTTTCCCACCCCGGCACAGTCGAATATTGATCGTTGCTCTCCATTCCCACTGCCATGTTGTCGACAGTCTTGACAGCCACGCTCGACGAGTTGGCAGCGATTGTCGTTGTGGTTTTTGCGCGCATTAGCGGCCCACTCTCGCGCTGTTCACGGAGAAGCTTGATGTACTCGGGTATTGTCTTTGGGAAAACGCCATTGGTGGTTTCGCGCAGCGCGGCCTCCCTTGCCCTGTAGGCTTTGAGACACAGACTACCTACCGCGACATGCAGGGGTTTCTTGTAATCTGTAACGAAGTGGGGGTGATGTCGGTATACCTCCTCGACCTCTTGCCACGCCTTGTCGACTTCGTCGCCGATGGTCCGTTCCTTGAGCTCATTGAGAATGTAGATAAAGGCTTGCCACACGAAGAACACCCTCGTATGCCACATGAACCTGCGTAGTTGCTTCGATGAATGTGCCAGGTTGATGCCTTCGAGAAGCGTCATCGAGACATTCCAGAGATATTCTCGCTCTGCAGCTGGAATGTCCTTCCCCTTGGTCCATTTGCGGGGATGGTGAGCCATGAGCCTCATGCTGTTGATTGCCCCTCGGCCGATTATTATAGTCATGAACTGTATGGGAATGGAAGGGTCACAGTATCTCAGAAACTTCTCCTCTAGTCGCTGTTCCAGCTCGTTGATGAAGGCATCTCTTTCCTCTAGGTAACTTGTAAAGGGCGAGTCAATGCGGAGATGCTCAAGGGCGACATTCGATCTCTGCTTGAACTTCTCCTTCCAATAGTTACCTAGCTCGCAGCGCAGAAGGCACGACACCATCTCCGTCGGCCGTGTGTGCGGGACTGGTGGCTCCTTCATGTCCGGGTAAATGTCTTCGTCGTTGACATTGCTCGGTACCAAGGTATCGGACATGGAGAAGTCCCCCGATCGACCTGACCCGCTGAGTTCTGCTGACCGAAAATCCAAGGTTGTGATCTGCCACCATAGGCGCCGGCGCATTTCCGTCTCAAATGGTGAGACCCCAAGACTCGTTCCATCTCGGTGGAGTCCCATACCCTGCGCAACACGACTAGCCACTCCGGCCAGGGTCCATGTGGTGCGGGAGTCGTAGTCTTCGCGCATGGTCAACAGGTAAAGGAAGAAGGCCTGGAGAACCACCAGCTCCGATGTTGCCAAGAACCTTGCTCTGGCAAGCGCTTTCCTAGTCGCATGGCGATATCTCGCGAGGAGGATCTTTCGAGGTTCACCGAGCTTCATCTCACACTCATCATCGTCAATCGAGTAGACAGCCGAGCTATAGATTGCAAACATCAGTGCCTCCAGACCTCGCGGCAGGTTATCCAGCTGTGAGGAAGCTTGAACCAGAGTTTTGTGAAGGGTTGGTTGGTGGATCAGTTTGGACATTGGGTTGATGTTGTCGAGGAAGACTTGCCATAGGATGAGGATGTTGCTGGGCGAGGGGTGCAATTGTTGAACTGAATTGCTAGACGGGGTATAGCCGAGAACGAAGTCAGTGCTCTCCTCAAGAGGAGATCCTATTTCATCCTCGTCTTCGGAATACTCGGCGATAGCTTCATTGGGTTGCCGAAACTAGGAAAATTGAACGTCAGCGACTCAAGTCCGTAATCGAGAGGGCATATTAGGACGAGAAGGTTTTGCTCCCATCGAACTGATCGTCTTCTGGAAGTTGATGGCTAAAGAGCTAGGGACGCCTTACCTCGTCAGAGAGACTTGCCCAGAGAGGATTTTCAATGAAGCGGGATTTCCCTTGATCTACAATCAACTGACCGGATTTTTGGAGTTCGGGCGGGTAGGCAGCGAAGATTTCGCGCTGCTTTGCGATCACGCTTTCTGTGCTGGGGCTGTGTTGTTGAGGGGTACTTATAGGTTGTGTGCTGGAAGGACTTTCAAGGACTGTCGACGTGGAGGCAACAGTAGATGTGACTTCGGTGTCGATGTCAATGCCCTTGCTCTTGAGGAGTTCTTCGCATTTCTTGAGTCGGGCCAGCAACAGGTCCTCCTGGGTGCGTTTCTTCCTGCGACGAGGAGCTGGTGGAATGCGGAATGTACATTCGACTTTGGACTTGACACAATTTGAGCAGGGGCTCTGTTTGTCGCATTTTACTTTGCGCTCAAAGCAGCGAATGCAGGAGAATGCCTTGGCTTGGGGCGGTCCAGCGGCGCTCATGTCGCCAGCTAGACCTCCTGTTCGCATTCAAGTGAAGAATAGTGCCCGATTTCGGCAGATCGCTATCGCTTGTCGCAAATGGGCACCAGCACCATGCGAACCCTCATATCGATCCGCAATCTGGAAGAAAGCGAGAAGAATCAAGACATAAGAGATATAAATTGCTTTCAGCCTGAGGACGAAGGTTCAGCATCGATTGCCGGGGTGATAAATGGTGGTCATTGGCTGGATGGAAGCTTCAGCGGCAGGTGAAAAATCAGGCAGCCAGCAAGCTGAAGGCAGCGGTTTTGGCCTGAAGATGCGGATCAGGATTTCGAGATACGAACACGAGGAGATGCCAAGCTCGTGCACGTGCCGCCCCCCACAAGATTCCTTGTAACAAGTAGATGCTCGTCCTCAGCTTTATTTTCCTTCTCCTTTTCCTTTTCTTTCCCTTTTATATCCATTTCCTTGCTTGCCCTTTTCCCCCATCACCACATCTCCGGCCTCGGTCGTCTTGATCAAACGGAAATCGCCTCATAATCTGCACCCAGCTGCGGACTTGTTACCCACTAGGCCATTCTGCAACTCCCCCCATTCGATGACTCAGCAAACCGCACCTCTTTTCCACTGGTGAGAGATAGTGAGTGTAGTACGAAGACCGCTTGATATCTCCTCGCCTCGTCCATGGCGTGGAGCCTAATTAGGAGTGAGGTCATCCACTCACCGTTGATGAATCGTGATACAGAACCCTCCTTTGCCTGAGGACAGAATGTTGTTCATGTCAGGTGTTGGTTATTATTAGCCTGGCATGGGTGATGATCTTCCTGAAACTCAGGCCCCCCAAGGCACCCGCCGCCCACTAATATCCAGTAGGCTGTGCCCAATTCATCAAGCTTAGGCTAAGTGAGGCCCATGGATTGGGTTCTTAGGGTCTCATGCTTGCTGATCCTTCCAGAAGAGTCGGTTATTCAATGGTTTGTTCCAATCCCCCCCAATTCCGCGTGGTAGGGCTGCACTGCGCATAGCTTTACATGTGGCCTGGGCTGTCCTGAAGCCATGTTTTTCGAGGAATAGCATACTCTACCTAGCTTCTTGTTCGTCTGGCGCCTTTGACCGAAGTTTGCTCAGTGTGGCTCCAAGTTCGCCCCGATGGGCACAAGGTACAGTCATCAGGAGGGATTGCGGAATCACATCCAGCATCATCAACCCCAGCCTTGTCCCTGTGGCGGCTGAGTAGCTGGCCTCGTCAGCAAAGCCATCCCCAGATTTTGGTGGTGGCCGAGCTCCTGCTATTGGACGGCCCCACCATAATCCGTCCCTACGAGTATGTTGATGTCTTGAAAATGCCCCCAGTTCAATGCTCTTAAGCCTTTCACTGGCCGCTCTTGACGATACCGTCTTTTTTTCTTTCCTGTCAACTTCAGCATAATCTCGACATGTCTGTTACTAAACTTGATTGGTCTGCCGACGACATCACCGATGCTGCAAAGGGGATTCACGCTCTGCTGAGGAATCTAGAATGGCACAAAGATGCCAAAAGGAAACACAGAAAAGATTTCGAGTATTTGCAGCACTGCCTGCTACCAAAGCTTCGTCTGATTGGAGGATATGTCAAAGACATTGATGATAGCGAGGACCATCCACGCAAAGCGGAGTGGAACGCTAATCTGAGAACTGTGAAACGCACCTGGCAGAAGTTAAAAGACTATCTCAGCAGCCGAAACGGCCTCTTGCCCGAGAGCCTAAACCGCGATCGCGCAGCTGGCGGTTTGCCATGGTCTTGGGATGAGCTCTCGGCTCAGATCGAAGGAGCTAGGCGGGAAGTCAAGGATACTCTGGACGACATGGACAGACTCATTCTACTTGAGATATGGTATGTTCCCTGCCGCGGGAGCCCAGGGAAGTTTGCTGACAATGGCATCTTTAGCGAGAGGTTTGGCCTCATCCTGCCGAGATTGGACTCTATGTTCCAGAAGATCGAAGATTATGGTGAATGCATGTCGACATACCGCAAAGACGTCCAGGAAATCCTCTGCTCCATCCGATCCAATAAGCAAGATTTCAAGTCCCTCAAGAACCTGTTTCAAGGGAGCATGGCCGATCTCGCCCACAAGATCAGCAACAGCCAAAGTGAAACCGAAGCCATCAAATCGCAGCTGCAAGCCATGTCGGAAAAGCTGGAGCGCTTGCTCGCCCAGCTGGCAGAACAGCGCGGGAACTGCACGACCAAGACCGAAAAGAGGTATCTAGACCAGCTACGGAAGGAAGTCGAAAAGCAAGCCGCCTCCGTAGCGCGTCTGAGAGTGTCGGTCGACGAGACCATGGGCATTATGGCCGAGTTCTTGCACGCCTTGGACAAGCTGGATTTCAGAAAGGGGATCTCGCATCGCGCCTCGGGCGCGTTTACTGACATGAACGACATGCTGAGCAAGACGATATCTTCGCTGGAAAGACTCTACGAAAGCTTGACGGGACAGACCTTCCACGTCCCGTTCAAGAAGGCGAAGCTCTGGAGAAGGGTGAGGTCGACAGGTGTCGCTCCCTCAGCTCACGACAACGGCGAGTCCCGACATGAACCATTGGATTTTCAGCCGATTCCCGCGAGAGCGATGGGTGGCGAGGACAACGACCCTGCAACTTTTGGTACAGGCGTCGAGAATCAGCCCGCTGGTTCGAGCAAATCCGCAGATACAGCGTTGTTAGAGACCACCAACTCTATGTCCACCTCCACGATCGTGGCTCTCCCAGCTCCTCCCTCCTCCTCCGGCCCGAAATCTTCAAGAATCTCGATTCAAGACCTGACCATCCTGCTCACCCGTGCTCCTGAATCGATGTCGGCAAGTCCGACGGCCTTCTCGAGCTCTTCTCCTCCTCCTCTTCCGCGCAAATCTTCAGCCCGGAGATCGTACCAGTACGTGCTCCGCACGCTGTCTCCGGGCGGCCAAACGCGACCTCCCCCCGTGCCTGCCATTCCAGCATACACGGCTACTCCACCACCAGCGCCAGCACAATCATCAGCATCGTCATCATTGTCAGAGGTAGATTTCCCGTCTCCTCTATTCTCGGCGCTGCCATCACGACCTCCGTCCATCGACGCCGGTTCGGCCCTGGACATCACAGCTTCGCACGCTGCCGGCACCACTAGCACTGCGACCGCCATTACTGCTGCGGGGAGTGAATCTGCCAAGGTGCCATCACTGCTCGCCCAACTGGAGCGGCGGTACAGCCTGACAGTCGTGACTGCGTCTACTTAGACTTACTTGGTCTGGTCCTGGTCCGATCAAGTAAGGTACCAATGATATACTCTCTTGGGGCCATGAACGGGTGGTCGAAGAGGGAGGGGGATGGGGACTTTGGAGCCCGCTTGTCTCTGTGTTCTGCCTTAACCCCCGTCGCTCTTTGAATAACTTTATATTTTACTTTGAGACGAGATACCCGTTGTTTGTGTGCATGTGGCGTTCATGGTGACTGCATAGATAACTATGGAGGTAGCTATGTGGGCAGGCCGGGTCCCAGAGCCTGCTATCCATGTTGGACGAAGCAAGTGTTCTGCTTCGGCGTGCGCCCGCACTGAAAATGAAGATAAATAAATTGTCTTCGCAGCGAGTCGTGGTTATCGCTCAAGAATATTAGCTGCCACAGTTTCGTTAGGTAGCTGTATACAGAGCTCACGGGGGATCGCTTTGAAATGATCGAAGTGATCTGATCTATCTACCATTCTCTGCTCGAGGTTGAGCATTCTTGCACCTTTTGCTTGGTGGGAAGACTTCCGGCAGGAGTAATCACGGCGCAGCCTCCCGCTCGCGCACCTGAACCCGTCAAGGGTACGATGGTACATCATTACCATCTCAACACACATTATCGTCTATCCGTCCATGGCTCATCCATTTACGATAACCCCGCCGTTCGGATGCAAGCTCTGCCCGTTGATCATGCTGCTGTCCGCGCTCGCCAAGAACACAAAGCAGGTGGCGATCTCACTCGGTTGGGCGGGGCGGCCCATGGGCGAGGTGAACTGCTTCTGCGCATCATCGTTCATGGTGCTCGGGATTAGCGGCGTCCACACTGGGCCGGGACAGACGGCGTTGACTCGTATGCCCTTGCTCATTTGCTGGTTTGCCAGGCCGCGCGTGAACGAGACAATTGCTGGAGATCCGTCAGAAAGTCTAGTGCATTGTAACAAAAGGAAGAAGAAAACTTGCCTCCTTTGCTAGAGGTATAGTCGAGAAGATCGGGGCGGCCGATGTAAGCGTTGATCGAGGCATCATTGATGATGGCGTCACCCCGCTTCATGTGCGGGATGAGGAACTTGGCCAGGTAAAAGTAGGGGTGGATATTGGTCTCGAAAGTCTTGTGCCACTGCTCAATGGGAATATCTGTAATGTCCATCTGCATCATTTGGAAAGCGGCGTTGTTGACCTGTTTAACAGTGTCAGTCACAACGAAGATACAATGATTGCCGTCTAGCTCACGCACAAGGATGTTGACTCTACCCAAGGCCTGCAGAGCGGCCTCTACAACCTTCTGACAGTTCTCTGGTCGTCGGAGGTCAGTGGAGAAGAGGTGACATGTCCGCCCGAATTGCTCGACGCGGCGCTTGGTCTCTTGGGCATCCTCTTCTTCTTCTGGCAAGTAGACTATGAAGCTGTCTGCGCCCTCCATTGCATACAGAATGGCTATGGCCCGTCCAATGCCGCTGTCCCCGCCGGTGATGAGGGCTTTCTTGCCTTCTAACTTTCCCGCGGCCTTGTATGGCTGCCACCCGCCGTCTGCAGTTGGGAGCTTGTCATGGATGGGCTCGACAGGCAAATCACCCTCTTTGCCGGGAGGGTCTTGGTGAGAGACAGGCGGCAGGAAGCCCTTTTCAAATTGGCCCTTGCCGCCAGTGGCCTCTTTGACTGTGTTTTTGATCGTCTCCATGGATTAGCGAGAAGGAGGCAGTGGTGTGTAAGAGGGTAAGAAGTTCGCAGAAAGACATGAGGAATGAAAAGAGATGAGGTGTTGAATGGTGATATTTCATGGTTACCTTAATCGGAACTGAACGTCATCCAAGGACGTGAGACCCGACGCTGATGTCACGGAGGCATCTCACGTGGAGCGCCGATGCGGAAAACATTCCCGGCATCATCTTTGCTTTGTTCTGTCGTCTTCATCTTGGCCCACGACATTGACGACCGCATCACAATTCGCAGGGGCATTTTCAAGTTGGTGTTGGAGGCGGAAGCGAAGAAAATCCCTGGTGAGTTGGAGAAAAAGAAGTCAAAAGTCGAGCCAATTCCCAGCCAACGAGAAAAAGATGCTTCGTCTGACTAAATCTTTATGCATGGCGGCCTACCTTTTTGCCTCGTCTGACTGAATATTTTCCATTTTCACTACTACACTCTCTGCTCGCCTCTGCAGCACCCTTCGACGTCCTTCGTTAAAGCACAGGAAGTTAAATACCTCATACAAGGTTCCCAATCTGGAGAAACGAGAATATTGCCCTTGTTGAGTGACTCCATGTCAATCTGGGTAGCTTTCCCTCGTCCCCTCCGCGAATCAGACCATCACCTACTGGTGCTTCGTCTCGGACGTAGCTTGGCCCTCGGGCCCGAATCGCGGCGCCCACCAGTTCTTGACGCCTCAAGTCCCTATTGATCCCTGCTTCGCGTCTGAAAGAATTGGCTCCCCTGTACGGCTGCTTTCAGTATGGCTACTTCTCGAAGTCTCTTTCTCGCGTCCGAGAGAGAATACAGGTCCATTTGCCGGGAGCCTATTTGTAACTGCAACCACGGTAGGTTCGTCATGTAGGAGAACGCGAGATCCGTCTCCAATCTTCAATATTAATATCCTCTCCGTCGTTCCAGTGTTAGCATGTCTATCTGTGCTCTAACTTCAGGCTTCACAATTGCTTTGGTATAACCAGCTCCCTTGCACCTTCACCAAAATGGCGCGAAAAGAGCTGTCCACAGTCTCCAACAGCCATTCTTGCGGAGAGCCTGTCAAACCAGCGCCAAATCCGCCCAATACTGAACCTCTTGAACAGGAGGAATACCCACCTCTCTCAAAGGTCATTGTCATTGTTGCCGCAATGATGTGTACTGCTTTCCTCGTTGCATTGGTAATAACATCAAAGTACTCTGGTCCTCTCTCTTTAACTAACGTGCTATGCAGGATCGTCTGATCATTGCAACGGCCATACCCGTCATCACCAATCACTTCAACTCCCTTGCAGACGTTGGTTGGTATGCATCGGCCTATCTCCTCACAATGTCTGCATTCCAACTCTTGATCGGTCGGATTTACACCTTCTACAACCCTAAGACCGTATATATTGTCTGTGTAGGGATATTCGAGTTGGGCTCCCTGGTCTGCGGCGTTGCACCAAACTCCACCGCACTTATCATCGGTCGTGCCATCGCCGGCGTCGGCAGCGCAGGCATCTTCTCTGGGGCAATCACAATAATCGTCTATCTTGTCCCGTTGCAGAAGCGACCTGCCTGGACCGGCATCTTTGGCGCCGTCTTTGCCATTGCTTCCGTCGCTGGGCCCCTACTGGGTGGCGTTTTTACCGACAAGGTCTCTTGGAGGTGGTGCTTCTATATCAATTTGCCCGTCGGTGGAGCTATGATGGTACTGTTATTCTTCGTGCTGGAACTCCCGGCCGCAACCAATAAGAGGACCAAAGTACCCTTCAAGGAACGACTCCAGAAACTTGACCCAATCGGAACAGCGGTCTTTATCCCTTCTATCGTCTGTCTCCTGCTGGCCCTGCAGTGGGGTGGCACTACATACAACTGGTCCAACGCACGTATCATTGTCCTGCTAATCCTTTCGGGAATCCTCTTTATCATCTTCGTCTATCTTCAACATGTCTTCCAGGAGGACGCCACTATTCCCCCACGGATTATCAAGAATCGCTCCGTCTCAGCAGGCGTGCTATATGCCTTTTTCAGCGGCTCAGGGATGATGACCATAGTTTACTTCCTCCCTATCTGGTTCCAGGCCATCAAAGGTGCCTCGGCTGTTCACTCGGGAATCATGAACCTCCCAGCTGTATTGGGTATCACGATTTCCTCCATGCTGGCCGGCTTTGCAACCCGCAAGATCGGCTACTTCACACAGTGGATGTATCTTTCATGCCTACTGACGTCCATTGGCTCAGGTCTTATCTCCACGTTTACAACAACTACAGCCCACCCGAAATGGATTGGATATCAGGCCATCTGGGGTTTGGGATTGGGACTAGGCATGCAACAGCCCAGTGTCGCTGCACAAGTCGCACTGGCCCGCAAGGACGTGCCCACGGGTGCATCAATGATGTTCTTTGCGCAAACGCTAGGCGGCTCAATATTCGTCAGTGTCGCGAACAACATCTTCGACAACACCCTTGCCTCGGACCTGAAGAAAATTCCCGGCGTCAACGCAGACGTAGTCACACACGTTGGGGCCACCGACCTCCGTGGCATTGTACCTCCGCAGCTCCTACCTTCTGTGCTCGTGGCATACAACGGCGCGCTAAGAAATGCCTTTTACGTCGGGGTGGCCGTGTCCGCGGCAACCATTCTTGGTGCTTTGGCCATGGAGTGGAAGAGTCTGAAAAAGGTTGCTGCTGCGCAACAAGCTGCGGCCAAGGCTGCGAGGGAGGCAGCTGCAAGCGAGCAAAACGATAGTAAGCCCAGTTCGACTGATGAGACAGGAATAGAGACAGAAAGGGGTGGTGGACAGACGGAACAGGAGCCAGTGAATGAGAAGAGGAAATCTGCTGAGGAAGTCTAATATCGACGCAGGGGTTTCTCTACCTCGTACTCTTATTTCATTCCCCTCATTTCTCAGATGACGCATAGCTAGATGGAACGGGGTGCTTTTAGACACTGCAATTTTCGTGAGAACGGCACTTACCTGCTTAAGCTATGGCAGAGCATGGTTGATGGCATTCAGCGGCGACAACGCATCTTCCAGGCACGTATAGAGCGCCAAGCTGCCTGTTCGGCCCGATGTTTATCCGAATTCGTCACAATACGCAAAGCCAATCAGGATACTATTATCTAGAATGTTCCTGTCCTTGATCATTGGATTTCTTGGCAAAGTAGGTAGAGTCCAGCCATAAGTAACAATAGATACCCCTCTCTCCCTATAGTATATAGCCAATACTATACACGGCTCTAAGTATAACAGAAGGAAAAGAGGAGGTGCGCTTCTTCTGTGGAGAGTATACAGTTTCGATCAATAGGTATCGTCGGTTCCTCGAAAGAAACAAATATTCCTTGCCACTCATCTACAGAGACCCTCATGGTGGGTATCGAGCTCTCCTCAAATCCGAAACCAGTCATAGAGTCCTTTACATGCTCTCATATTTCGTTGTATTGTGCATTGATTGAAGCTCGGTGCTCCAGGCTGACGAGTCCATCGGGGCGCCGTACTGAGGGGAGCGTTGGAGGCAAAGAAGCTCTTTGCCTTCCCCATTTTGGAATATGGCATGAACATGGCGAGGTGTTCTCCACGATCATTTCTTTCTCAGGTATACGTCCAAATAGCGAAGGCCAGAGTAGGCTTCGAAGTTGGATCTAGAGCCATCTCTGGCGCATCTATTCAGGCGTATACTTGAGGTAACGTGCCAGAGAAACAGCTGCTGCGGATGTAACATCAGAGAGCCAGCACTGCATCTATCAAACCCACTATCGGATACCCACGTCTCAATTCTTTGAAGCCAAAACCCTCTTCCTAGATAAATGTATGAGGCCGTCTTTTCTCACGTCGAGAGGCCCCTGTGGATGGTATCCGCCCGCTTCTCGTCTTAGGTCGAGGATAGTTCGAAGTTGTGTGCGAGCTTGAAGGAGGTGGTGACGGCGATAGCCTGGCAGCCAATAGTGAGACAGCAGCAGAGGCCAAGCCTTTGAGATTGGCGTCAGTCCTGGAAAGTTGGCATTCAGAGCTGATATTTCCCCTCGAGCCCTTGAGCTGGGTTCAAACGATGAATCCACCTCCAACTCATTCTTGAATCTTTTCAGACGATCCATAATGACCCTACCCATGGCCTTGCTTCACGTCTTTGAGATTGCAGCCCTCACTAAGGAGCTCATTGACCTCTTCGGTGTGCATTCCGACGGCCACAGCGAGATTTGACTAGTTATAAACTCCAGCGACCGCGGCTATGGAAACATTCGATTTCGTCGACATCCAGCGCGATTTGGCGAAAGAGAAAGTGGAACAGCAAGAGAGGATGACAAAGACACATCGCTTGCCGTCCCTGCGCCAGAGTTGGTTCAAGATAGTGGGTTCGTGGCATTAGTTAAGGTACCTCTTGATGTGTCGGCCCATGGGCAAGGGCCCGGATCTTGACCACGTTGCGTCTACCAAGACGTCTGGATATAAGGAAGTGTGACAACAATGCGTACAGTTATCCCGGTACGTATCACGCGGACTCCGGTGCCCTTTAGAACCGGATGCCAATGAGATGAACCAGCCCATAGAAAAATTCCAGAGGGAAGAGATGCTAAGCCCACAGGGAGTCATGAAGATAATGGCATTAGGGAAAAATTGGAACATATCATTGCGGTCAGTGATTAGCGGTCCGAGTCCGATAACGGCAGGAGGCCTTTGGCATTAGCAGTGCCCATGAGACCTCGGTTTTTAGTCAAGTCTTCCACCAATATCTCATAAGAATGTTTGGTTCTCTCTGGAGATAGCCTGATCAAAGGACGATCGAGCTAAGAGCTGGCCTTGTACAAGCCGCTTGCAAAGCAATAGTAATCAATATATCCATGGCTTCAGAACATAGGCAACCTTACGATGTCTGTGTGTTTGAATTTCGAGAAGTTGCTGAGCAATCAGAAGCGGGACATCGAGTGAATAAGGTGCTATATCATGGAGGTGTTACCACCGCCGTCCTGGCAGCACTAAAGTGGGTCGCAGATACTGTATTCAAGGCCCCAAAATTAACGTCTCAAGCTTCTCCCCAAAATTTGAGGATCCTTATCGCAGAAGCACAGTCAAAGCCAGCCTAACAATACCCCAAATGGGCAACAAGGTTAGAGTAGGAGCCATCCAGGCCGAGCCAGTATGGCTCGACTTACAAGCGCGACTCGAGGGAAATGAAGGCCATTCAGCATTCTGGAACAAAATCCAGACAAGAAATGTTTGATTCCCATTTCCTATCAACTGGCTAAGGAACCGGTTTGGCGACCTTATACATTACTTGTGACTTCCTGGCAATTTGGAGACATGCCACTGGAAGATACCTGGAGAACCCCTGCCGTTGAGATGAATTTGATCCAGATGTTGTGAGGACGACAACCACATCAGCCACTGTGCTGGTCAGCCCGAACGAGATGATCTAGCCTTTGACCAAGACCTCCCCAGCGCTGTTTCGAATAGTTGCCTCTTCTCTCGATCAAACGAATGCGCTGAAGTTCGGTTCCGAGTGTGCCGACAGTCCCGAAAGAGATACGGCGCGCTTGAGCTTTCATACCCCATCCTGAATCAATTGACGGCGATCTTCAATAGCTCTGGCCCTAACACTGGCCTAAACCATTTAGCATGCATATGCAATGCAATGGGAAGACAAATTGGGTAAGGTGATGCATCCCAACTTCCTTGACTACATTGCGACGAACATTCCTCGAGGCTTGGTACGTTGTGTGTGACTCATAAAGAAATTTCTATATCATCCTTGACCAATCCGCAACTATACTTGGAGAGGCACTCACTAGTGTCTCCCAATTCCCAGTTTAAGCCAGAGCCACGATGACCGACCCTTCACAAAACCCGTGAGCACCACTCCCCATGACTCGAGAAAGGTCGGCTGATCGTCTGACAACGAACAGTTTCCCTCCCGTCCGGGCATGCATCTTTGATATGGACGGACTGTTGATTGATTCCGAAGACCTTTATTCTGAGGCTATCAATACGATCCTCGCGGAATACTCTCGGCCCCCAATGCCATGGAGTATCAAAGCCCAGCTCCAAGGCAGACCAGTACCTGAGGCAGCCAAGATATTCTCCGAGTGGGCCAAACTTCCTATCTCGGTGCAGGAGTTTCGAGAAAAACAGTTCGCGCTGCAACAAGAGCTTTTCCAACAGACAAAGCCGCTGCCGGGGGTTGTGGAACTGTTGAACAATTTGACTCGCGCCACTACCACGGTCAAGGCAACCGATGGTGGTGGCAGTGGCAGTTGTGTTCTATCGGGTCCCGAGTCTGCAATCAAAGGTCCAAAGATTGAACTTGCATTGGCCACTAGTTCTCACACTGAGACCTATATTATCAAAACTAAGCATCTCAGCGGCCTCTTCGACCTGATCCCGAATGAACATAAGGTATTGGGAGACGACCCAAGAGTTGCCCCGGGACGTGGAAAACCACTGCCGGACATCTACCTATTGGCTTTGGCGACTATTAACAAGACTTTGGGGCCCACGTCCCAGATCAGGCCGGAAGAATGCCTCGTCTTCGAAGACTCAGTACCAGGTGTAGAGGCCGGCAGAAGAGCTGGGATGAGAGTGGTGTGGTGTCCCTATCCCGGCCTACTGGAGCATTATCGAGGACGGGAGAAGGAGGTGTTGGCAGGCATAACAGGTGAGCATAAAGACCTTGTGGCGCTTAACCATGGCAAAGTGGGTGCTCTGGATGATGGGTTCGCCGATCTAGTGTTGAGCTTAGAGGACTTTTCTTACGAGAATTATGGTATCTCGATATGGTCACCGATTACCAGCGATCGAGCACGACTCCCAAACTGAACTTGACATCACACGTCACAATGACTTATCGTGCATAAAGCCTGAATAAATCTGATATATACATAGATGTTGCACACTATAACATCCTGGTTAGATGCGGGATAAGCTATATCAATGATTCAGTCTTGACCATGAGACAATTCTGTTCACATTTAAACAAATACATGGTATCAGGGACCTACGCAACGCAGTAGGTACAAAGAAATTGGAGTAGCTGAATGCCTTGTTCTATTCACGTAGTCCTATTGACAACGACTCAACGCTTGAGAAAAAGGAAGAGTTCTCTCTCAGAGACTCTTATAGCTTCCCCTCTTTCTGTCACGTGAAAAGGGTAAGGCAGCGTTAACCGATAGCCTTGTGCTTCAACCATCCTTTGCCTTATCCTTTTCTTTCTATAAGGGTGGAGGGCGTAGAGTACTTGGGGACAACGGTGGGCTCGTGACACATGGCGTCCCGCAACCGCAAGGTTGCGACAGTCTGTAGATTAACTCAAAGAACAGAAATCCGGGGAGCTGCAGAAACGACATCTATTTCAAGCCAGGTTTGCCAACAGCCGATTGAGAGATAGGCTTGAAATCTTCGCGGCTATTTCAGTCTCCGCGCTGTATTCGTGATGACCGAGACCGAACTCTGTGGGCAGGCCATACCTATCCTGTATTAACACGATCCACTCCGCTCTACACACGGAAAAATGCTGTACGAAACTGTATTGATTTCGGAACCGCCTCATGGTAGATTCTTCTGGAGAAGAGAGGAGATCTCTTCGCCATTCGGTATGAAGGCGAACTAGGTGCGGCGCACGAATATTGACCGATACTCATCTTGAAGTGCGGTATATACCGTTATTCATCCGCTTCCGTGAGATTCTGTCAAAGATAGCTGGAAGAGCATGCTCAACCTCTTTATTTCTAAGGTATATAGATAGCCAACTTCGCCCATTAGATGGGCAATCAACAACATCAACCTCTCAAGCTCTGACAGATCCCCGTGGCGTCGCTTCAAGGGTGATTCCTCGGATACTGGACTGTCACTGAAGGCGATGCGATCTGACGTACTTGACGGTTGGCTCAGACCCAAAAATTCGCCGGTGGCCCAGTATCAGCTCACCCTCTCGCTCTCTCTCGAAGACCTGCCCATTCTGCTTTGTCCATGTCTCTCTGTCTGCTAAACCTTTCTTCCCTCATATCTTCTTTGAATCTCACCATTTCCCCATAGTCCCCATCCAACTTGAAACCGATTTTCATCGTCATGGTATTCTCCGCTTTCAAGTCAAGATCGGAGGGCCATGCTAAGGCTCTTTCATCCGCTCCAATGAAACACATCTCGGCTCTGAGTGCACCACCATGTCGAGCTTGCTCTTGACATCTCTCCGAATTTGCAACCAAGTCTATTCTCCCTCTTTTCTGCCTCTTTTCTTTGGGGTAGTAGTGATGTGAGGATGTGGTACGCTAGATTCTGTATTTGCCATCTAAAGTATCTTAGGATTGAGTCGCACCAAACTTCATTGCTCTTCATAATAACCGTAAGGAAGCTATAAACTGCATCTAGCTTAAGAAGTCTAATCCATACGGTCTCACGTGGCTTTTCCATATGAGCAGCAGTTATTCCAGAACAAGCCAAGAGAGGCCCTAGCGCTGTAACAAGGCAAAGTGGCTGTGCTGTGCTGTGCAGGGCTGGTAGAGTGGTAGCAGGGGGGAGAGAAGTTGTCTAGTCACATGCAAAACCAAAATAGGCTAGTAAGGGGAGTGCGGAACAGTTTACAGTGCTGGGAGACCGCCATTCTTCACGGTTTCAGCAGAGTATCATGAATTTGGTGCCATCTACCTAATTCCTGAGTGTTTTGTCAATCCTGTCCTGTTCCTCGATGCTGCCGCTGTGCTAGACGTTTGTAGCCCTAGCCACTGCCCCTCTGGGTGGTTTTGGTGGTGGTGTTGTCTTGTCAGTGCCAACCAGAAACGCGTTCTCGATTCCCGACCTGCTGGACAGCCCTCTGTACGCTGTTGCACGTGCACGCCGAACCCTGAAGTGCTCTGTTACAGTAGATATGATCTTTACCTCGCCTTTGACCCTCTGGGCTTCTATCCTTACTAAGCTACTTCGTCGGTTGTCGAATTAAATTTGTTTCGAGGCAGGAGTCGAGCCACCTTAGCGCTCCCGTGGTGCCTACAACAGGCCGAGAGAGGAGTTGGCGGTTGCTTGTATGGTACACCACCGGCCACACGTTCAGCATGAGCTATTTCTTCAGGCCTGCAATGTCCAGAAAGAATGATGCAGTGGGATTAGCCGCTATGCACCTGTTAGTCAAGCACACAAGTGTAGCCTCCGCCAAAACAACGACACATGCGATCAGGTTCGATGATGACTCTGCTTCACACTCATCATGACATATGCCGAGCATACTCACATATGTTAAAGAGGCCCAGAAATTCCCTCACTTGCTGTCATTATGCGCATGGACGCCCTTGATCTAAAGGCCCAGATTACTCAAGACATCTCTGGGAAGTCCCCAGAATCATAGTCTTCCAGCTCTAGACCCACACAGTCACTGTGCGTCATCCTGAGACTAGCGACCAATCGCTCCTTCGCTCCCGTCAAAGGGCAGGAGTCATCGAATCCGCATGGGGTTCGGGTGCCCGCCGGGGAAGGCATGCTTCCCAAGAAACTCCGGCAGCTTCGCCCATTGAGGCGGCTCAAAGGCCAGTAACCTTGTGACTGGAGCCATTCTTTGAAGAGCGATAGGCGTACTTCCTTCGTGCAAAGGTAGTCACGAAAGTCGTTGGAGCCGCAGTAACCACATTTTTTGGTTTCCAAAGGCTTATTGCTAAAGCACTGAGAGCAAATCTTGTCCCGTTTCCCCACGTGTCTTTCGTTATTCGCACCAGCCTCGTCAATCATACGTTCTATCCGCTGTTGAACAGTGTTCGTAACATTCTCACAAAGCTCTTTGACATCATCTGGAAAGACAATCATTAGCCCGAGAACAGTTCCCCTTGCGAGACGTACCTTTTAGTCTGGCAGGCATAGGATGCACATCCCAAAGCTTCCATGTGCCAGTTGTTAGGGTTTCTGCCAAATAGAGGCTGACTCGTTGAAAGAGGTTACGCAAATGAAAGACGAACGCCACCCACAGTAGCGATTGGAGCGCGTCGACAGTGAGACTGGACAATTCCAACGAATCTGTCCAAGCTCTGACGTGAAAAGATAGAGCCCTGCTGCAGCCGTAAAAATTGCACAAGTCCGCCAATATGCGATAGTCGTCTATAGAATCTGGCGGGTGGGCTGGACGGTAGTGGAGAACGACACAGATCAAATAGAATATATCCGGATGATCTTCCTGTAGTTGCTTGATGGGTGGCCTTTCGGCATTTGGCTGGTTGGCGCCTTCCATGAAGGCGTTCGATTGGAGCATTTTCCTGAAGAAAGGACAGGATAACTCGAGTACTCTCGAAGATACCAAGAGATGACGTCGCCCGACAACAAGCACGACGTCTCCCTTCGGATCAAGCGCTTCCATTTCATCCGCAGGTTCCCCCATAAGTGAGCGGCACGAAGATTCGTCTTTATCCGCATGCTCCTCCTGGATATGGTCCATTGTAACGGTTGACGAGGTTCCCAAGAGATGGCGATTGAATGCTTGAGCGAGTTGCTCCTTGCTAGGATAAAGAGCAATTCAGCAACAGTACATATAGCAGATGAGCAGACATCCGTCCATCTGTTCAGCTTGGATGTCGATGCTGTCGTTGTGGTGACGTGTGACGTCTCCAGCAATCGGCAGTCGAGGGGCGCTCCATACTTTCGCGGCCTTGCGCCCCTCTCTTCGGGTTCAGCTGAGCCGTGCCAAGCAATGAAACCCCACCTTCGAAGTCGCTACTCAACCAGATCACTTGTACCGACTAGAAACCTTCCGTTCAAGCGTCTCTAGAACTGTCAGAATCTTTCTTGCCCTTGAATTCAGAGAGTCGCGATGAGCCAAGGCCGCAGCAGACCCACTTCGTCCGGCTCCCAGCCCGCCTCGATATATGGAGACCTTGAAGATGCTATCTGCCTCCTAGCATTGGTTATGAAACGACCGCCGGACCTTGACGGAATAATGGTACCAGAAAAAGGTCTACATAGCACAAGTGGTAGTTTGAGGCAAACTTTGGGCGTGGACCTAAACAACGGTCCGGAAAAGGACCATGATGCTTTGCAGGTGGAAACTGATGTCGGAGTCGACGAAGTTGAGGAATTGGACGATTTGCAGCTTATTGACACAGACAGAGATGAGCAACAGTACCTCACTGAGTTGCAAAGCAAGATCTTGGATCGATTGGCGCAGACACTAGCTAGGTTCAAGTCCGATCCCATGACGAAAACATCAATTGATGCGAGGCATGTGTCTAGCGCAATGATGATTATATACCAGGAGGATGAAAGAGTTAAGATTCTCTGCTCGAAGAACGAAGGACTTGACATAGAAGACAAAGTTTTTCTCTGTGACTGGAAGGGCTCTATGGAAACCATAGCCAGAAAAGATGATGTTAATCAGCCTGCTGCGTCTGCGATAGTACTAAGGTCATGGCAGGAAGCTGCATCGGAAGAAGACATGACTACCATGTTTAACTTAGTGGTCAACCATCAATGGCGGCGAATACTGTGCTATCTGAAGTGGTTGAAGTGTGCGTTTCAACCTAAGGAATTTCCAGCGCATCATCGAAGTAAAGAGGCGGCCGCTCTCGTAAAATCGCGGCTTGAATCCCACCCATTCCTCAAAACCAGATTATGGACTGATGATAATGGTTTTGAGTTCTCAACACCCACGAATCTTCGTGCTGAAGATTATGGGCTATCGGAAACTGTCGCGACAGGTGAAAGCTTCGAGAATGTCGACAGCAGTGTTTCTGATCTTTTCAAAAAGGTTCATAAGTTGTGTGCAGAAGAGTCTCGAAGATCTCAGGAAGAGCTGCTCAAGTAGGTTATGCATATCACATTTGACCTCTGGAAAGGGGCGAGATCCCGATCAGCTATCAAAGCGTATTTGCATCCATACTTCGGGGACTACCGGAAACACAAGGCGGAAGCCGAAAATTCTCTTCTTTTCCTATGTAAGATCTACTACGGTGTTCGCAGCTTCATCGAGGCCGCGGAGAGGCCGCGGAGAGGCTGCCGGCTTTCAAATCTATCCAGTGTGTACCCGTCCATTACCAGGCGTCAGGTGTCAACCACAATTCTGGCTCCAAACAAACAACACCCCTTGAAGCGGCCCGTCGTCTGGGAATCAATGTCTAGCAGCGTGGCTGGATTAAATATCTCATAGGAGAAGGAACCAGATTCGCGACCCTCTTGGAACAGAAACGCCGCAAACCTCACTTCCACGCCGACGTCCAAGAGCTCCAGAGCCATGACTTTTTATGGTCGCCTGATGAGAGGAAGCACACTCATCCCTACATTGGATGTAGCAGGCGGTGTTGCTTACTCTGTTACTTGTTCGTTCTCTCATACGGTGGTTTCGGCGTGCGAGGAACACACCAAACGATCATCCACAGATGGGAATACCCGAATGCAACATCGTTGGCAAGGCTGACCCGATCACAAAGTTCCGATCAGCAACGGAACGGCTCCTCAACATCGTGAGAAGTATTCTTCAGAGGCTGTTCAAGATGACGTACCCTATCAGTCAATCCCAGCTGCTTGTCCAGTCTCCAGACGCGCTGTCTTCAGCACGAAGTACATTGGAGAAAGAATCAGCACAGTTGGAGAAGTCACATCGGGAATTAGAGTAAGGAGGAATATCTCTAACAAGCAGCGTGTCCAATGTTAATTTGACTAACCGCTTCCACAGACGAATGATGATGATGTGTACCGTTTTCAATGATGGAATCCTCATTCACAGGAATCCCGAGAAGCCAGAATATGCCTTGGTCGTTGGAGGCCGCATTCCGAAAGCAAAGGAGATGACCTTGGGAGAGGCTGAATTATTCAAGAATAACTCCATCCGCTCGAAGTTCGGGCTTGAATTATTGGGCGATATGCCCCCAAAGCGCATTTTTTGCTCGAGAACTTGCAGGCGCTGTAACCGTCCCTCTGGCCTCCGATGTTCTGCATGCAGAACATGCTACTGCTCAAAGCTGTGTCAAGCCAAGGATTGGAAAAGACACGTATTCGCCTGCTGCGCCAAGGGTCGGCCAAACGACGTGGATCGTCTTAAGATTATGACCAGACAGTGGATCTTTGCATCGCAAGACAAAAGCTCCCGAACAACACTGCTCACGGCCCTGTTTTCCGACGGTGATCTCTGTAAGATGTTTGGGTTCAACCAGTGTGTCGAAGAGTTTGAAGTGGCCAACCTTTTCTGCATATACGCCAACCTAGTGCAGAGTGTTGGATCTGTAAATCTTCAACACTATGTTGATGAGCAACTTCTGGGCGATTTTATCCAAAGTTGGATCTCTGCAAGCCAAATTCATAGGCCCGGTGATGATAGGGACTGTCCTTGTTTTCCATGGTTTCTCAGCAAACGCCTGACAGGCTTCGATATTCCACATAAGGAAGGGTCCTACACATACCAGGTCCATGCTACGATTAACCTCAAGCGATACTTTTCTCCTGGATCCGGTTTATCTCATTCTGAGAAGTCTGTCGCATCTCTGTATTCAATCCTCCTCCGAGACTTTAACAATATCCCTGATGCTAGCACCGTGGAGTGGATCTTGTTCGGCTTTTGCTATTGCATAAGCACTGGGCACCGAGAGGCTTTTGTGGCAGCGTACCTTGAGCTCGCAAAGAACGGGACTCCACTTGATCAGATAGCCAAAGCTTGGGAGACTTCATCGCTCCAGCATCTAAAGAAGAGCCAAGGAATTGATATTTCATTACTTAACGCGGATATCGATTATTTTCAGCAATCTTCAGTCGACGAGTTCGGAATATCGTCTCATGGCCGAGGTCAAGCACGCCCTTTCTGGCTCGTACTGTCTCTTCTTCCGGCCCGCGTGCCAATTTCACTCGAAGTACGAGACACTCCTAAGTAAGGAGTCGGAGGGCGACTATGGCTTTCACGGAGCAAATACTTGGGAGCGCTGGCAGCTCCTGAACTTCTATTCCCATGTATTTTCGCATCCTGACTTCGATGCCCGGAAGATGCAGGAAGCAAAACGAAATCCCAACCCGGAGGCTTTGGAGGAATATCTAGACTCCCTTGTTCCGAACTTCCGCCGCCAAATCGGGAATGAATTTCTGGCCGACGCGATGTTCCCTAAATTGAAGGACAGGGTGACATTTCCCCATGGCCGGCCGCCATGTGAATGCATCATCCACACTACTCTCTCCTCAGAAGGACTGGATTTCAGGTCTCTCCGGAGGATTTCTTGGATGCGCAGCACGCTTAAGGACGACGAAAATGGACCATCCTACATTGGTGGGGAGGAAGGTTAATGTCTCGGTTCTGATACAAGTTAGCAGCAAGATTGGCATGAGAGTGGACCATGGAACAAGTTCTTCAGCATTCTTAAAGATCCGACGGCAGGCCACGTCAAATAAGGGATCAGCTTGAACTCTAGAACCTCTACCTTCATCGATCTTATATATTTTCCGAACTAGATCGATCAACTTTAAAACGCAAGCAAGTTTCGACGCTGAGAGGGTGGGAGGCAAAAAGAAGTGAATGTGTCGAAGGCTCAGCAATCAGCGGTCTCACACTGTCACAAAGAACAGAGCGACCGGGTTCAGGTGGATAGATGAGCTCGAGTGTCTGATCGCGCTTCGTCGAAAATCTTGAATCGGCCACATGTCGGTAATATCGTTGACGTCTCCGGCGAATGCATCACTAATTCTATGCTACACTCTCCTTATTCTGGCAATATCATGGAAAATCCGACACAGAGCAGTGATAGAATATACTTCAAACAGTGCGTTAATTGGAACAAAGAGATAATTCGTCTGTCACCATGCTCTTGGCTACAGCCATTTCAACGAGGCTGAGCCACACAGTTGGCCATGGTGGCCTAGGCCTCTTTCAGCCTGATGCCAGCCGCGCCGCTCAGGTGATGCAGACGTCAGCCTGTACAATACGTTTTGGTTTACTGTCGTTGTCATCTGTGGTTGAAGGTGAACGATGCCTCTGCATTCCGACCAGCCAAAGGTTGCGTCCTGCTGAATGACACACGAGCCTCCATTGTATCTGTGCAATCAGCGTCCTTCAACGACCCGAGTCATTGACACTGTCCTGCACGGTCTACCTCATGGCCTATAAAGTGAATGCGAAGGAGCTCACTTAGGATGATTACACCGTCGCTATCTATCAAATGTCCGCTGGGAGTTAGAGATGACGATTGTTCGAGATATTTTGGATGGAGAACATATTGGTTGATTTCCTGCCTCTGATGATACATTGGGAAGGACACGCTAAGCAATTGACAGAGCTTGCCTGGCATTGAAATCCGCCGTTCAGCTCGGGCTAATTCCTCTTCCAGGGGAGAACGCATGGTCGGCACGCACGTGGCACTGCAGCATTGTGAAGGGCCTTCTAACTCGTCACTACACAGATCATCCCCTTGCCATCCGCAACGGAAGGTGGCCGCGTACCGAGTGGTCTCTTTCAAAAAATTTTCACGGTCCGCTTCCCGCGCTCAGGATGTACCCGCCATCCACGGCGACGGTCTGGCCGTTGAGGTACTGGTTAGTCGCAGCGAAGAGGATGGCATTGGCCATGTCCCTGTCCTCGCCGGGCCGGCGAGCGGGGACCTTACCCTCGTACTTTTCACGGGGGAGGTGGGACTTTTGGTCATCCCCACTCTCCTGGGCGGTCATCTCGCTGGGGAACACGCCTGGCGCGATGCTGTTGATGCGGATCTTGAGGCCGTTCTGCGCGACCTCGTTGGCCAGCATGGACGTCAGGTGGATGGCGGCAGCCTTGCTGGCGTTGTATGCGAAATGGTGCTGTGCGGTCTTGACGATGCCCGAGATGGACGAGATGTTGATGACGGTGCCCGAGAAGTTGTCGTTGTGCTGGTGCGCAGCTTGTAGAAGTGGTAGAAAGGCCGTGGTCATGAAGAATAGCTGCGGCACGTTGGTACGGTACGTGTCGGTCCACATGTCGAACGTCTCGTTCTCGTCGTCAAACAGGTTCTTGGACATCTCCTCGGCTGAGGAGGCTTCGGTCTGCTCCGTGTTGAGAGCGATACCGGCGTTATTGACCAGGATGCAGAGGCACTTCTCCTTGGACGAGATCTCCTGCACCAGTTTCTTGATGTCTTCCTTCTGCGAGACGTCCGCTGTCACGGGGATGATCTGGCCCGGGATGTCCTTCCCGTAGAGCCCGGCCACGCGCTCGAGCTTCTCCTCGGTGCGGCCGCAGATGTAGACCTTTGCGCCGTTGGTGGCGAGGGCCTGGGTAATCATCAGCCCTATGCCGCTCCCCCCGCCGGTCACGAGGGCGACCTTGTTGGAGACGTCGAAGAGCTTGTCGAGCTTGAAGCTCTGGTTCCGCGAGTTGAGACCGGACATGGCAGGCGGCGTGGTTGAGAAGTGGCGCTGCAGGCTCTGGAGACGAGGCTGGGCCGTGATGGATGAGAGACGGGCTCCTTGCGCAAGTCGAACTGAGGCAGGCTTGATGAAAGTTCGGAGAGAAAGGGGGAGCTTGGGCGGCATTGAAGTCGAGAAGGTGGAACGGCTGGTCAGCAGGTGTAGTATGTTTTTTATAAAGGAGTTTCACATCACTTCACTTGGTGGTGAAGCAATCATCATCATGAGGCTATGACGCTGCTATGATGAAATGATGAAATGAGAGCGACGAGGCTCCGGATCACTTTTCCGCCTCGTCTCATCCCTGAGCGCGTCTCCTTCTCTCCTCTTCTTCCGCTTTGTTGATCTCGTTAGATGCCCAGGTACGAATCAGCAGACGCGTTCCACCCTTAATTACTCGTGCTGGCAGTATTGTGTACAAAACTCCACCGAAGGCAACAGCCCGCTCCATCAGTTTCGCACCACTGGTATATGTCGCCCGCCGTACTCATTACAACGCTCGAGCGCCAGCACCCATCTGAGCATTTAACCACCACCACCACCACCACCACCACCACCCCTACTACTACTACTATCACACCACTATGTCCAAGTCGCGTCTCTCCACAAATCTGTAAAAGATGTCTCATTACCTTGGAATGAAAGCTAGCCCCTGCAGACTCGCAACTAACAGACAGATACGCCTCCGAGCTGACCGAGACTCATCACTTCTTCTCCTCACTGTCTGCCGCGTAAAGCTCCTCCTCCCTGATCTGATACTTGGCAGACTTCCGAGCTGGGACGCTGTTCTGGAACTGTAAAATCCCCTCGCAGTCAGAATGGCGACAATGCCCAGAAGTGCTATGTATTTCCTTACCATGAAGTCCAGCTCACCAAACGTCCGGTCCTTGGTCTCAAACAGGCGGAAGTAGCCCCACAGGAAGGTCAACGTCGCCAGGCCTGCCCAGAAGAAAGCCTGGAGAGTCACCATCCAAGATTAGCAAAACCACGGAAGAAGGAAAAGAAAGAAAGAAAGGAGATGAAGTTATAGACGTACAGTCTTGCCCTTGGCATTCCATGCGCCCGGAGAAATCAGCTCGGGCTGAAGCAGTCCACCGCAGATGATGTTTCCAACATAATACGTGCTACGAGCCAGCACCACAGTCTGCGTGCGCAGTCGCGTCGAGCCAATCTCGGCGACAAGCGTGTAAATGATGGGTCCAACCGACATCGAGTACGCGCCCAACCAGACCAGGCATAGAATTGATTGTCCCCACGCCAGACTCTTGGTCTGCGTCGGCAGCGCCAGGAAGCCAATGGTCCACAGGATAATGACCAAGAAGGCAAACCCGACCAGCCAGATGGTGCGGCGGCCCCATCGGTAGATATACAGCCAGGAGATAATAGTCCCCAGAAAGGCGATGCCGGTCCCAGCCAACGAGATGGCGTACGCGGCATTGGCGCTGATGCCCGTCTGTTGGAAGAAGAAGGACCCGCTGTAGCAGAGCGCGCCCCCGTTGGTGATTTGGGAGAGGAAGCCCATACAAGCAATCTCGGTCCGGCGGCGATTGGTGCCCCGGAAGGCATCCCAGAGAGTCACGCCAGCCCGCTCTTGGAGCTCAAGCTTGTTGGTGTGAACCATCATGGCAATTGTAGCGTCAATCTCGCCATGATGCTCCGGCTGGGTCAGTCTCTCCAGGGACTTCCGGGCCGCCTCAATTCGATCCGTGCGGACAAAGTACCAGGGCGACTCGGGCGCAAACCAAGCGGCGAGAAAGAGCGGAATCGGCCAGACCCACTGGACTGCAAATGGGATCCGGTAGCTCCACTCGGTCGTGTTGTTCACGAGGCCTTTGAGGACACCGGCAGAAATAAACTGTCCGATGCACCAGCACAGGTTGACGTACGCTGTGAGATATCCTCGGATCGCCAAGGGAGTGACCTCGGCTGCGTACGAGGGACCGGTCGTGGCAAACACACCCCAGGGGATGTTGCAGAGGAACTGTCCGACGAGCATGACCTCAATCGTGGGTGCGAAGAAGACAATGAAGATGAGGCCAGCCAGCGAGAACAGATTGAACATGAGAACCTTGCGGTGGCCCCATCTGGCCGTCGCCCAGCCGTTCAGCAAGGCGCCGATGATGTTGGCGAAGGCACCCAGGCAGTTGAACCGCTGCTGCCAGTTTGCCGAAATCTGGTAGCCGCTCTCCTCGTTCAGGTATGCGCCGTATTTGCGTCGAAAACTGGGATAGCCGTAAAAGGAACCCAAGAGCGTGACGTCGTAGCCCTCCATAACGACGGTGGTTGAGATGACTACCACAGAGTTAGTTGCTTGAGGAGAATGAGCCGGAACACGTACGGATCGACCAGAATGCCGCGCGCTTGTACGTCTTCAGAGCCTGGAAGACGCCCATGCTGTGCTCTTGTGCCGTGCCCTCAAGGGCACCACTGGCCAGGGCCGCATCGTGGAGGCCCACGTCCTTGAGGTATCCGAGACCGTCGTCGGAGGTTTCAACGTGGATCGTGTCCC